GGGGGGGGGGGGGGGGGGGGGGGGGGGGTCGAAGGGAAAAAAGGATTACTGTTGTTCGATAGCACGTGTGAATGGATATGTGTATGTGTGTGTATGTATGACGTATGTATGGGGCTCTGTGTTACGCAGGCGGTGAGAGAGTCCTCGACATCGGGTGACGATGACCGGTCACGCTGATGAGACAAGGATAGATGATGATCGTGAGACCAAAACTCGAGGTAGAGTCGTTAAGTGAGACGTGCGATATTGTGCATGTGTTATATGATTTGTCGGGGTGTCTGAGCAGCGTTGCAAATGGTCTCGTGAAATAATCGCGAGCATAAAATGCACTCCGTGAGAACGTGATGCTAGACTGATCGAATTCACCATTCGGTGTGTGTTACGTTATATAAAAAATTATATATATATATATATATATATATATAACACGTTGAAGTATGTTATGTAAAAATGTGCACTTTTTTTAGCATATAAAAGGGATCATGTGAATTCATTTTAATGCAAGTCATTATTCGTCACGCGTAACCAGACTTATACTTTTGCGAATACAACCACGTTCTAGATATGTAATTTAGATTTTGTATTGCGTTACGTAATGCTCCGATAATTGGTTTTATGTTATGGTTTTTTATTTTAGAGCGACCCTTGTTACAACGCTGCTTCTAAGAGCTCATGTCAACCATCTTTAAAAATGTGCGAAAACATATGTATAATAAAGTTGCAAAAAAATTTTCTATCGTGTGTATAAGAGAAATAACACAACATATGGAAACAAATTTTTGAATAAATATGTGGTAGCTGTGGTCTTTATTTTCCGTATAAGCAAAATGTTTCTCTATTTATGTTGTATAATATAAGTCACGAGAATAGCTGTTCCATTTTCAATCTGGAATATAAATATTAATCTGATGTTCATCCACACTTGTTGCTTTGCTAACCGTGCGTCATTATGCCTTCATAATTCAAAGATGGATGCGATGGCTACTCATCACCCTTGAAGAATGTAAGCGAAGCTGCCACCTTAAACTTAAATTTGCCGCGCAAACTTAAATGCTGCTGTGTCAATTTTGCTTTTTTCTTCTAGCATTACGTAGCTTCTCTCAAACATAATTGCGTAACTTAATAAACATTTTTCGTAGTATTCTTGCGAAAGCTGTTTGTCGGAACAAATGTAAAGTAGAATTTCCGAAAGAGGCGCTAAGCAAATCAATGCGGTGATGCTAACGAATGTAAATAAGTAAATGGTCAAGTAAGCTGCGCAAATCACTATTTATAAGTGCGATTGTATTGCATTTCATTTAATCTATCTATGAATGCAATTACTCAGGCAGCGCCGCTATTTTTATTACTTGAGAAGAGGCCGGGAGTGTGTGTTTCAGGTGGCAGCTAATACAGAACGGAAAATTCGCATCGCGCGTGACATACACAAAATAACGAAATAATAAATACGGGAGGTCTAAAACCAACTGATAATCGATAATAATCATAACGTGATGTCTGCTGATAAAATCGTGGCGACGATAATGTTGACGATGATGACGATGATCTCTGTTAGCACAGAAGGAAATCGGCAATTAAGAGATCGCGACGTCGAAGGTCGCGAGAGGGCATAATAATACAAACCAAAATGATTAATCGAAAGAGACACGGTTTGTGGCATTCCTTTATCGTTAATGCACAGCTAGTCATCTAAAAATCTAGGGGCAACGACAACAATTATGTTCATGCCGCAGGGCCGAATAAAATTCGACGGGGCCGCATGATGCGACCGCTTGCTGACGCGTAGCCGCCGCCGTTCGTTGCCGACGAGCGCGTTGCTGGTCTCTCCCGCACTCTCTTTCCCGCCGCTCCGCTCGCTGCCTGGCAAACCTGTTTGCGTTCTTATGTTTTCATGTACACATAACCATGCGAGGCGAAGCGTCATGGCAAACGTCAATTACTTTCACGCACACTCGCACACACGCAAAAACGCACGCGCGCAAACACTCTTGCCAACAAGCGGATTGTCACGTCGGCTTACAAATCGATCATGAACCATCGGTACGTTATATTCGTTGTTTTCGGATGCCCGAGCGGTGACGCGGAGTATATTAATTTTGGTAACGATCCGGCCGTTTAATCGGCAATTGCCATTCCGTCGATTCATTTCTGATTAAATAAGTGATGCGCTCCAGCGCTGCGATCGTTTGCAGTACGTTCCGCGACTCTTCGATTCATATTACGTTGGTCCACTTAAAGTGGAGTGATTTCCACTTTGTCGTAACTTTTTCATTAGTTAAAGATAAAGAGCGTTTAAGATATATTTTAATTTTTATGCAATAAAATCACTATAAAAATCGAGACATAAATGAATAACTATAAAAATGATGAATTAAATAAAAAATCCGCAGTAAAATCAATGTATTTTAAAAATAATATGATTCCTTCTAATCAATAAAACTGCTATTTTTTCGTTTAGAATTAAATTTCTTTTCTCATTTCGCGACAATTGTGTGATTATATTATTAAATTTATAAGATATACCTTCCACGTTGCTGTGTTGCGCCGGAAGTAGCAGAATGTGCCGCGACCTACGTTCCGCGATTCTTCCTACGTCGATGAATGAAATGATATACGAATATATTATAGAAATTGTGAAACTATATTATCCGCGAAATCTATTCTTTTTATAATATTTTGCGATTTTTCTTCTAATGTTAGTCATCTAAAGCCCGTATTAGTAGTTATTACTTGAAGCTCGCGCGTTTCAAGTGAGACACTCAGATTTGAATTTAGAGTAAGATGAGAGTTTTTCAGTCGAGTCGCGCTTATAGATATCACATGTTATAATTTATCTGGAAAACTTAAATCGAACTCTTTGAATAAAAATCTGAGTCATCTCGCATGAATAAGTTCCAGGTGACAACTATTAATATGGGCCTAATATTGACGGACAAAACAATCTGCAAGAACTTTTCAACGGAAAATTCTATCTAATGTTGATTTGGATCATCAGTTTGCAATCGTATAAGTTGATGTTACTTCTTGATCGATTGTTGACACTCGATGCTATTAAGTGATCTGTGAACGAAGGAAAATACAGAAGAATATAATGATAGATGGCTCATAAATGACTCGTAACAATACGTCATATTCCACGTGTTACCAGTTCTCCCCCCTATTCGAGAAAGCAATACAACTATCATTACCAGCTGGTCTGCCGGGCACGTCACTTAGCCTGTTAATTCAAATCAATACATATAATTATCCGAGATTCTCGAAAGCTCATCCTTTCTAGTTAAGCGTATTCGGCTTAATCCGCTCGTAAATGCAAATTGCATGATCAGTCATTTTATCCTTATAACTTCCGTTGCACACGTCGATTCATAGTACGTTCGTGTACTTAAAGTGGAGTTATTTCCACTTTGTCATAACTTTTTCATTAGTTAAAGATAGAGAGCGTTTAAGATATATTTTAATTTTTATGCAATAAAATCACTATAAAAATCGACGGATAACACAAAATGAATAACTATAAAAACGATGAATTAAATAAAAAATTCGCAGTAAAATTAATGTATTTTATATTTTAAATAATTTGATTCCTTCCAATCAATAAAACTACTATTTATCCGTTTAAAATTAAATTTCTTTTCTCATTTCGCGACGATTGTGTGATTATATTATTAAATTTATAAGATATACCTTCCACGTTGCTGCGTTGCGCCGGAAGTAGCAAAATGTGTTTTGGAACCAGTTGTAAATTTCATTGAGTGTTAGCTGCTTCTCAGGAGATTCGATGATGGACTATGGAAAGAGCAATATAGAGTGGCGAGTTATATCAACTTGTACTATTCATGATGACCTGTGAAATTTCACAGTGGAAGGTAGGTATTCAAGTAGAACCATTTCAAGTCGAGAATTTCTTGTACACGTAATAGCATTCTATATGTGAAAGCTTTGCCTCTCAAATTAGACCGTGATGCTACGAAATCCGAGAATATTGTAATCTTTAATAAAATACGATAAATCGCGAGGGAAATAATAAATGATAGAATAAATTTTATTGTTTTTAGGTAGAATTACAAGGCATGGTATCAACTTGTCAATATACACAAGAGAAGTCATTGAATTGAATTGCAATATAAAATTATAACATTTTACATAATACGCCAAATAAATTAGGAATTATAATCTTTGACGTATTCAAGAAATTACACAATAATGATAATACGTTTAAAATTATTTCATATATGTTGTCAGAGAAAGTCGGCACAATAATTCGCGATGAGAAAATGCAATATGCGAAGGATCCTTCGGCAATTATATTAGCCACTCACCTGCCGAATTAAGGATGCATACGTGAACGGTGGTCTGACATCTGCATTCTTGTAGAATTCCCTATTTCGTTGAATTTCTGAAACCGCCACAACAAATCTTATTTATTCTATATCTTATTAAAATCGCGAATGAGTCGATGTGTGAACTGATATTTTGCTTATCAATAATAGGTAATTTTACAATAATTTCTTTGCGTAGATAGGCTTGAATAGTGGGATCGCAACAAACAAGCGGATGATATGCCGGTCATACGAAAATATCATGAAGTATCATTCTTAAACTCTTCCCCCTTCGTAGATCTTTACTGAGTTAATCGAATTATGTATATCATAATATTTTCCAGTATTCAGAAAAACTATAAATCTACTTGTTTTTCAGTTTGCTACATTAAGTTCCTTATTATTTTTTTAAATAGTTATGAATACGTTTCAAACATATTCAAGGAGTAAAATCGATATATGTAACTTACTATCTAGAGTTATTTATTTATTTTTATTGTATGATATTTCCGATATTATCTTAGGATTTAAGAATTCATTATTTTATTTTATTGTTACTTTGATTACTCTACACATACGCAGTTGTCTATCTGTAATATAATGTAAGGTATGCCACGTATAACATTATCTGCATTTTGTATTTCTCACTTGATCGCGTTTTTCTGAATACAATTTAAGTATTTTTTCATCGGCTTCTATAACCTAAAATAGCGAATAATAACTAAAATAAAAATGAAAATTATATCCAGAATATACCGATATTAATTAGAAATATTTTTTATTAATAAAATCAGTTTTTAAAAGTGTAAAAATATCTGTGGATATGCATGCTTTTGTAAAAAAGAAAATTTAATAATGGTGGAAGGAGGCAATCCAAATATTAAAGTCTTCTATCATCTGTTCCGTTGTAACTTTGGAAATCGATATTTGCAAATTAATCCCTGCTTTCATAAAACAAAAACTTTTGTGTATCTAAAATGCACGAAAGAAAAATGATTCAAATCGAATACGCGCGCGCGCGTGAAGAGAGATCACCTCTTTCACCAAATAAAAAAAATATATACAAACAGAAAGCGCTATAAACTGACGCTAATCAATTGGTTCAATCCCAAGTATTCGCACGGGACGTTGGGACATTCACGATCTTGATTATCTTGGCAATAATGAGTGAAATCAGGAAAATGCGGTACTACACGGAGAGGCAAAGATGAAGAGGTAGGAGGGAGTTCAGCGTTCATGCAAAGGTGCACCCTTCCGTAAGAAAATCTTTAAGCCACAAAAGGGAGCGTGGAAAGAAGGTTGACAGTACCTTGTTGGACGTCAAGGCCAGCACGCTCCAGCATGTAGGGCAGCCCTACACGGTGGGGAGGGCGGGCAGCACAAGAAATAAGGAAACAACAAAAGCATCGATAAGAAAGAGGTTCGAGCTGGCGGATATAAGAATTTATATCTCATTTCGTTCTTTTCTTTTCTATTTTTCTTATCGCATAAATTTCCTTGCATCCCTCTCTATACCCTATGCTCGTCCTACGCCGCCAACAAGGTGTCGAACACTGTCGCTCACGTGACATAATCGCTACCATAAGTAATCTGTGCGTGTGGTACAATTTACGACAGGAAAAGGCACGAGACCAAGAGAGGACCGTAAAGAGCACTTGCTACAGGATTGGTATTTTCTTTTATTTCATCGGAGTGAACATGATTTTGTGACAAACCTCGAAATGCCTAAATTATAACGTGCACATCAAATTCGTCGAGTTAATTTCTTAAACAGGAGAATTGAAAATTAGGTTAAGGGATGTTTAATCAAAATATGTTACATTCTATATCTCGTTGACAATGTCTTTCGCAATTTAACGTTCAACAATTGTATTTCTTGAATGCTACTGCAATGATGTATTCATTTGTACGTTTTTCAAAGCATGCAATTGTATAATGTAAATCGGGAAAAATCGGGCAAATCTCTTTCTTTTTCTCTCTTTCTCTTTTCATTAACAATTTAATGAAAATCATATTTCGATTAAAATTTATTTAAGATGGCATTTCGAAGCTCGCGCATCACTCCGAGTATGATTTTGTGTTATCGTTACCTTCGTTAATATCTATTCCAGATCTATCGACGGCTACTCTGCGCCTTACAGTGCCCTCGTCATACAGTCCTACGAATAGTATTTAATTTCTGAATTGTCGTTTCTTTCGTTTCACCTTTCTTTGAGACGATATTAATCCACTTCCAAGCATTGTATGCTTATTGTATGCATCTCAAATATAAAGTTATGCGTTTGGAAAATGGTTACATCGAATATATTTTGAATAAAGATCATTTAGAGTGAAAAATGTCTGAAAGGAGTAAATATGAATAGCACAGTAAATTATACTGCGTAAATAGCCGCTCAAATAAAAATAAATGCATGTAACTAAAATCGATGTAACAACGAGTAACATATTTGTATAGATAATACATGTGTGTATTTCACGAATCGCACGTTAAGCAGCATTACTGAAAAATACCAACAAAAATATAACACTAAGTTATTCAAAATTGTTGTATAATTGAAACTATCACGTAGTTAAATATATCTCATTTTCTTTTCGGTGTTGATAAAGCATTGAATTGATAAGATTCGGTAAAAGAAACAATTTACTATTTCGGAATTCGCATTTTGGTTTCTTTTTAAAGCTCGAATTTTTGTTATTAATGTACAAGAGCGACTCCAACGAAACACACATGCCGTACATGAAACAATCTGTGATCAACCATTTTCCTTGGAACAGGCAAAACGGAAGAGCTCTTGTAGAGTTTAATAGCAAAATTCATCTTGGTAACGCATTCTGGCCCTCATTGATCCTAGTAACTTCACTACTTCAAATCTCACCTGTTCAGGTGAGATCGTCGGGAGTTAGGGAATAAAAGACGACCTTACCTCCTGCCAAGGAAAGAGCTGACTTGTCGCTGATGCGTCGTCTGATTGGACCTGCCATGCTTGGCATGCTGCCGGGCATATTGGGCATCGGCGGTAAACCGGACATGTTCGGTATGGTCGGAAGTGGTGGCATCGGTGCACCACCGGCCGACGGGGGTAGCTGGCCGCCTCCGGGCGACCTCACCGCAGATACCAGCGCGGACATGGATACCGGCGACACTTGAGAGACTCCGAAGTTAGGTGGTGGCTGACTCATCAGCGCGGTAGAAAAATTTAGCTTTGGTAAACTCGAGCCCGTCTGAAAAAGAGTCGACAAAATCGTAGGAAGGGGACAGTGGTGATACCCCCGATTTTCAAGAAAATAGCAGGGAAAAATTGCACTGGAAAGATCGATCTCTGAAATGAATTTTCAATAATAATAATAATAGGGAAGATGTGTGATTCTTCACCGAATAACTGCGATCTACACTACATTTAGAGAAATTATTCAATGAAGAACTAACAAACGGATATTTTCGATCAAAATACCGATGCATTTTTATATTTGATCAAGATATCCGATTAAATTTAGTCGAATATTTCCGATCATAATGATCACATTCCATCAGATAAACCGATCAAAAAATTATGAACCGATATTTCTCATCGAATGTTTCCTAATTAAATACAAAAATTTATCGGTATTTTGATCAGAAATATTCATTGTTTGTTAATTTCTTATCAAATAATTTTATTCAGTATAGGGATGGTTTGATAAAAATCGATTCTTGAGTAAATTTAAATCAAATTAAAAAAATCGATTTCTTAAATATCAATAAGAAAATCGCGAGGAATTTAAACTTCTTTTTTTATATAATAACAAATACATAACAAAATCGATAAGAGGACACATCAACGAGTCAGATATCGATTTGTATCAGAATCGAACAGAAAAGTGTTGAGAAAAGAACATCGATCTTTGAAAAAAAAATCGACTCTTAATATTCCCGAGAATTGAGTCGGAATCGTACATTTCCAATCTACACGTTTAAGTGATGCTCAAAATGCGACATGAATATTTTATTATTATATATCGTAGTGAAACGCATAGATTATACGATGCGTGAGAACTATACGAGCAGTCCGATCTGTGTAAGAGAATCACTCACACACAGTCGCGTTAAAATAATTAAGCCGTCGTCGGCCGTCGAGCGTTGTCGCTGGCGGAGGGCTAATGCGATATTGGTATTCTCCGACTGCCCAACTTGTTAGGGGTTTTAATTAAGGCGATATAAAATCACCGCGGTCTCGATGAATTATTAATGCAAACTTTATGTATAAATTAGCACTCGACTCGCCGGCGCGTTAAAACTGAAACTCGCGTTGTTGTTAGCAGGCCGCGAAGAGCTCGTAAAATCTTCCAACGGCCTGGTCTGTCGTGAAAATCCGGCTTTACGATCTCGAAGCGGTGCCGACGTACCGGGGAAAGTTTACGCGTTGCGGTAGGATCGTTTTTCCGGACTCGACTTTTGCGGTATTCATCCTGCAATGAACTCTTAAGTGTATTGTAATTGCGAAAACATTTCCCAGCTTAAATACAAACTTCACGATGTGTGATACAAGATGATAAATAATAATAATTGATTTCTGGATTTACAATAGAACATAATTTTGGTATTAGAAATTATACAGGATGTTTGATGCGCAAGACACTAGATGCTTATATTCCAGATGGATTAGATCAAACTAAATATATAAATCCCCTATCATTTTGTAAACAGACACATAAAATTTGGAGCTATTAATTGAAGGTAATTGGTGGGTAATCGTTGTTGTTGTTGTTGGTATTCCTGGCCGTGGAATTAACTCCATTGACCGAAAGGGTGGGTAATCGCGCGCGATCTTTCCCTAATCTTCATTCAATTAATAACACAAAATTTTACATAGTTGTTTGCAGAATAGTAAAGGACTTTTGCATCCAGTTTTAACCTGCACACGAGCATTGTCGTGTCTTGCGTTAAACACTCTACATACAAGACAGTTAATAATAGGGCCATACAAAAAAATTATCGTGATTTCCCAAAGCAATAGTTTAAATTACAAACATTGTAAATACAATAAGGGTAACTTACCGATGACTCAGATGACTTTGGTGGTTCCGGCGAAGCCATTTGTTTCGCCATGTGCAGATGATGCATCATAGCGCCTAGCCGGTCTCGTTCCTTCTGCAACTGGATTTCCAGCTGCGACACCACTTGCATTTGAACTCTGGCTTGCGCTGTCGATCGGTCATCCAACGTGTGCTCTGTATTTAAGTGTCTGCAATATTTCACAATTAATTCCCGATTACGCGATTATCCTGTAAAAGCTATGAGAAAATTCACGCGCTGGGAAGACACGGGAAAAAAATCCCGGGCACATTTTCATTCGCCAGCCACGAGAACTCGTTCTCAGGAGACAGCGGGACAGAGAAAATCAAGCTTCGCCGCGTCGTAGATCAGGATGGGGTTGGGGTTGCCAACACAGCCAACAAGATTCCGTATTTAAGAATTTCCGTAATCCTTCTTCGTCGGCGGAACGGACGGCTGTATCGACGAGGGTGGCGGAGAGGGAGGTGAGGAGCGAGCTGGTCGGTTAAGAACGAAGATGCGGGAAGGTCGAGGGAGTTTGAGCGGACGAACTAGAGGGGGCAGAAAGGGATTAGACTGAGGGAGCATAACGATGCGGTTGAATGTCGTGAATATTAATGAGACAAAGGTAATTAGCGTTTTTCTTTTTTTTTTAAAGTAACGGCTTGTTTGAGGGAGTTTGCACCGACGAGCTACGTGATTACGAAGGATCCCCGGCGGGACGGTGGGCTTGCGGTTACTCAAAGCCGATGGGCAAAAGCGCTTGATGTCAATGAGATATGCTGACGCAGGCGATTTTTCTACACCTCCTTTGCCTTATCCGATTTAATTGTCGGCTTTGTTCGTCTCGTACCTTCGATCCTGTACACTCGTTTCCTATATCGAAGCGTTTCGGCTTCTCTCGCGAATTTATCTACTTATTCTTAAATCCAAATTACGCAGTAATGCGAGTGTCTCGAAGACCTGAACGTCTTTTATGAATAAATGTGTTAATTTCGATGTTTAATAAGCGTTTGTTGTCTTGTGATAAAGTTAATCGGACAACGACAGTCTTTAGGCGAATCAAGACAATCGAGATGAAGTGTAAACGATGAGATTGGGCTGAAAAACTCACTTAAGGAATGCTTGATAGTCTTCACAAATTACTTCACAGCCTGGCCACTTGCAAACCCCATGGCCATAGAGGGGGTGGACCTTGTCGTTGCAGGAGGCGTCCAGTGGCTTCTCGTCCAGTGGCGTAGTGCCGTTCACCTCGGATCGCCGACTCGAAGCTATCGAATTCAGAAGGCCTGCGATAGTTCGGCAAACGAACGTCGCATTCGCAAAAGTAAAACTCATAAGAAAGGGGAAACGGGAGTACGGAAACGAGCGAGCTCGAGACCAACTGTGAGGCGTGAAATGATAGTTTTACCATTCAATCCCGAATTGGACTTGGGCACATTGGAGTTCTGGTGGGACTCCTGAGTGTCCGACGGCTCTGACTTCCACGTTGGTAGGTTATCACCTGGTGGCAAACCTGCTTGAAATTGAGAAAAAAATATCATCCGTTGACAAATAATCGAGCAAAGAGACGGCGACGGTTAATCATTTCATTGTTCTCCTTCTTTCACGGCTTGCATGGACATATTTGCAGCACGATAATATTTAGCGCGTATGCTTCGAAGCAGTTACGTATGAAGCAAACATGCGTGTGGCTGCAAGATGAAACTTTCGCGCGTCGACGAGGAGGCACACAAAAATATGAACGAATCAAAGATATAAATATAATAATACACAATAATGGCGAGAACCTGACTAAAAATTTATCTCATGATCACGTTGATCCTTATCAGTCATCTGACAGGTTGGTCCTGATCAGGTTAATCCTTATCAGTCATCTGACTTGTATAAGACGATAATATCTTGATAAGTCATGTAATGTAGTGTGGCAATTGCGATCTTATCGATAACAAAGATTAGTAATAATTAGGACCTGACATCAGCTTATACAAATCAGATAATTGATTAGGATTAACCTGATCAGGACTGTGGGATAAATTTCTAGTCGGAAAGAAAAAGAAGAAAAGGAGAGATAATCAGTTAAGAGAAATGAAGAAGATGGGAATGACAAAGAGAACAATGCAAATATCAGATAATGGTTCAAGGATGGCGGAGGAATTCGTTTCATTCGTGAACTTCTACATTCAAGGTATCCGTAATGTGTATCACACCGACGAACAGTCATTTCTTCACATTTTATCATATGTGTATTTATATATATACATACACACGTGATATATAAGTGATATATATGTGAAGAAATGAAGAATATATGAATATGAAAGTATATACATATACATGCGCGCGCGCACGTTAGGCGAAGAAAAATATCGCCGGAATGCGTTTCGGTACAATCGAAACACTTTCACGCAGAGTTTTGTCCGGGATGAAGGGGGAAACACAAGAAGGAAGTTAGCGAAAATGACAGTGAAGGAAAGAAAAAGAAGAGAACAATCAAGATGGAGAAAGAAAGAGGGACAGAGCAGGTCAAATAGGATTGTTTTTGTTTAAACAAGAGGGCCTCCAACATCAACTCACTTCCGGATTCGTCTTTGCGCACGTGTTGCTGATCATACGTGACTACCGCGGCAGCATATCACGCGTAACTGCAAATATATGCGTGTTTTGTTGTGGCACGTGACACGTGATTATATTTCTGGCGTTTGTGCGAATTCCTACGTTTCGCAACAATGCGCCGTATTAGAACGTGAAAGAACGCGTGACGTGTTTCTGTACAATCCTTTCATTATGAAAGTGAATATACGTCGATGAAGTCGCCGACTTCCTCGTGAAAAGGATATACATCGATGCAGGATATATAGGATTATACTATCTACATTTCTTGGAGTAATATTTCATTCAAAATGAATAAAAAGTGATAGTATTCCCACTCGAGGCGATAGTGAAAATACTGTCACTCGAAACCACAAAAGTGAACGTCTTAATCAGAGTGGAATCTGATTCTATATGAGCGATTATTTTAATCGATCGGAGTGAATATATTCCTCCGACGGTGAAATATATCAGATTCACTCCTCAATTTCGAGAATTTCAAATGAAAATATTCGTTCAACGAACCAGAGCAGAGAATTCATTCTATAAAAATAAAAAATAAGTAATAATAGAATTTGAGTGAGAGACTAGGTTGTCACTCTATTTTTCGAGTGAAATTTCACTTCAAGAAATTTAGAGAACATGAACTCCACTTATTTCACTCCCGAATGTTTCGTGCCTTCGCGTGCGTTTATGTTTAATTCAATATATCTTTTAATGCATCTTTATTATAATCATGAATAATTTATACCTCAAAGTGAAATCTGTTTGACTATTCAAAATATATCAAGATCTCTACGATCGAGCGCTCAGATTTCTCGTGCACATACCTGAAGAAGGATTGTGGCCTTGAAGGCCCAGCCCTTGTTGCAATAGATACTGCCTCTGTGTAATCTGCAACTGCTGTATCAGTTGCTGTTGCTGAATCGCTAACTGCTGGAGAGGTGCCGATGCCTTCTTCTTGTCTGCCGTTTGCAGCAGATGCGTCTGCTGAAATATATTCAGCTGTAACTGTTCCTGCAATTGCTGCATTGCCTGCTCCAGTTGTTTTTTGTTGAGTTCCGCGAGCTGATGCTGGTGCTGAAACAAGTCGCATAGCATTCTATAAACATACGCTACGTTATTAGCATAGTATTAAATTGTCAATTTTATGGAAACTAGGAAAATCAATATTCGAAGTAAATATTGTTGATTATGACAACTCTTATACTACTATACTTATCTTTGTATATAAAATAAACTTTCCATTAGTATCCATCGAGTGAAAGATCGAAATAATTAATTATGAATCAAATAGCATCGTCAGCGGTTTATCATTAAACGTCAGGGAAGTAAATATTTCGTTCCTGCCAAATTAGTTGGGCGAAATAAGAAGGAAAGGAAAAAAGGGCGAAGGCGGCGCTCGCGTCTTGGAATGATGAATAAATCACGGGCGCAGATAATTCGCGGCAGTGAGGGGGCAAGAAGATAGAGGGCAGTTGATGGGTACCTCGAAGACAAACAACGAGACACAACGGCTGATGGCGATGCTTAATTGCTTACCTCACCCTCCGACCTATTTCACCCCCTCAGCCTATTTCATTTCTCTCTCTCTCTCTCTCCTTCTCTTTCTTCCATACGCCTCGAGGATATTTTAAAATAAACTTCAGATACGCACACCCTTTATTATATTACTATAAACAAAACTACGTGATTAATAAAGGCAAACACGTTCTCGTGCTAATAGGAACTTTCCACATTCATTTGAAACATATGAACTTTCTATATTGTAGCTCGTATTTGTTTTGCACTATTTTGCCGCAATTATAAGCCCTGATATTATTCAGGAATTTTTTAAGCAACCCACACCGGCGAGAGACATTATTTCGTAGTTTGAAATATTATTTCAACTTCATATGTTTATTTATTCTCGCTAACTGAATTCTATAGATATCGATTTTCTGAAGGCAAAACTTTTGGGAGCGGTATAAAAGAAAGAAGTACGATTAAGCGAAACAATATACGCATCTCCAACTCGGAGTCTGACGCAATTCCTTCCTCGAGGAATAGGTTCTGCTACAATAAACTACACACGGCTGCCATGAAAAATATTTGTTGTCGCGCGCGTTGGTATTTTTGAAAAAGAATATCAGAGTGCTTATTGGATCGTAGGCGCCGGGATAACATTATGGCTGGATAGCAAAAGTGGTTCGCGCGATGTGTATTGTTATCGTAACGATATAGAAGGGACTACCTGTTTACACAGACCAAGTATCAACCCTCTCGCTGCAGCATCAAAGTTCCCACGGTTCGTCGGCCGCAAATCGGCCGCGCGCGCGTGTACCGAAATTCAAAACCTCTTTTAAGATTAGCTTCCACACGAGAGATATCCTTTGTGTTTCCGTTTCGTTTATTCAATCGGGGAGGTGAATTTGACACAGAGTGACGAGCGAAAGTTCAACAATTCTACTTACGTTCTTTAAAGAGGAGAAGTAGCCGAATCGTTCCTGGTTAGATGCATGATCGGAGGATGAATCCTGCAATTGAACGACATTATAAATGGGGTCGCGGCAAGATAAACGTGCAGAGCGGAATTATTCGTACAGAAACAAAAACAAAGCAATCCCTATTTAAAAGACTTGATAGAATTAAAAAATAGAATTAAATAAAAGTCTATATAACTGAAATGTATTTTTGGTAAAATATGATAAAATTACGTGCAGAGACATGTATATTTAGATAAACATTTAATCGTTAAAAGTAAGTGAGAATATAAAAAGAAAGAAATTTGTAATTTTTTTTATATGAGCTGAAATGTGAGAAATTTAAATTTTCGATAAAAATAACAAGTTCAGATAAAGTCATATAGTATTTCAATGAAATTTCTATATATTTCTATCAATCTCTCCTTATTGGATTTTTTAAGTAGAAATGTAATGCATCAAAATTCTATTTGAGATCAATTAAGTGCTATGTTAGAATTTTAATTCGTTCATTCACCAAAATATGATAAGGAAGTACATTAAAACGTACGTATGCTTGTAGAACTGAATATTTTTATACGATGTTCGCGATTACATCCACTTATAACGCGGCAAAGATTAGCGGGGTGCTAGGATGAATTCACCTGATGATGCTGCTGCTGTTGCTGCAGATACAACGTGTGTTGCTGCATGAAAGACTGTAATTGCGTGGGACTGAGTATGTGTTGTTGCAGCAGCTGTTGCATCTGATGGAGGCCGCTTGCCGAGCTGAGCATCATCTGCGAGGGAGTCTGCGACGGAGGAGCCCCTGGCGGGCCTCCGGGTGGCGGGCCCTGGGAAGGATTTGGCGGTGAACCCCTCTGTGGGGCTTGCGGACTCTGATGTGGACTAGGCTGGGGCCCTGGTGCCCCCGAGCTGGGCTGTTGCGACTGTTGTGTAATGATTGGCTGCTTTTGCTGGGTCATGGGTGCTGCTGTCACTGCGTGTCCAGCGGGACTGAGCTTCCCATTGCTTTGGTACTCGATGCTGAGCTCCTGCTGCTGCTGCTGCTGCTGCTGTTGCTGTTGTTGATCAGCAACACCACTGCCACTGCCGGTCTCTGTTATGTTGCTTCTGCCGGAGTCGCGATTGCGCGTCGCTTGCAGGCGGTCCCTGTCGCGACACTCGCGATCCCGCGACGAGAAGACACTGTCGCGCGATTGCTGTTGCTGCTGTTTCAGGGCTGCAAACAGCGAAGTAGCCTGCAATATGAAAATGGAGATCGAGAGCTCGATCAAAGACTGTCTCTAACGTGAACATATTGTACATAACGCCGCGTATAAACAAAATATGACATTTCTTTTCCGTATCAACGGATAATAATGATATAGAAGATTTATGATATATAAGATTAATAATAATATAGATGACACGTTGTCGTGCAATATTGTCGAAAAGATGCTAAATATCTAAGGACAGATCGACGATATTTACGCAGCGGAAAGCTACAAGATAAGATGAGGGTGGAATGAGAGAGAAAGCTAGCGTGACGCGAAATCGCGAAAGGGGAGAGCAGCCCCGGGCGGAATATTCATGATATAAATGCCATGTAATGTACATGCGTTAAACTTCTACCGTATTTTGAACAATATTGATCTTATCTAATGGTATTCGAGCGGACCAGCTCGGCTGCTCCGTCATCATTGGCTGGCTCGAAGGAAAACTCGCTGTTGTCTGAATGACGTCGGCTTGAGTCTCCTCGGCTGTTTACACAGCGGGATTTGTTTTATTAAGTTCTATCATCAAGCAGATTGTCGAGTGTAAAGGCGGAACCGAGTATCCAGCTTCTCTTCCGCTCGCTTCTCGCTCATGAGAGGGAACGATCGAGGGTCAAAACTTTCGAGCGCGTTCTAGATGTCTCGATAAGTTCTCCATTGTTATTGTGTTATTACATGATATAATGGGTATGGCATTAGACAACGTTTCCCGAGATATTTATTATTTCTCATTATCTTAAGAGACCTATTTTCGTGGAAACAATTTTCCGTTATGCTGATAAAGTGGATTTGCAACGACGATATATATATACATATATAAAGTGTCCCAAACTCTGCAATTTTTGTGTAAACGTAGAACAGATCAAGGAGAACATAAAAGTTCTATATCGTTTTGCGATATTCGCGACAATAGTTGAGATATTAATTAAAGAAAATTGATGATTGATCACATGCGATATGGCAGATGAGCTGTAATGGCGATGTGTGCTATTGTATGTTTGTATATTAGGTCAAGTTGAACAAAAAAGGCCTTTATCATTTTACAAATAACGTAGATTTTTACTAATTAATGAAAGTAAATTGTTACATGATTGTGTGCAATAATGCACAAATCTTTTATGTTTAAAATCTAAAAATCTATGTGATTATTTGCAAAATGCAATACAGGACTTTTTTGTTTAATTTGACCTAAAGTATAAGTATACAACGGCAGATGACGCTACTACCATATCATAGCTCATCTACCATATCGCGCGTGATTAGTCATTAATCTTCTTTAATTAATATATCAAGATTTATTGCAAATATCGTAAAACGGCATGAGATTTTTATGTTTACCTCAATTCGTCCTACGTCTCCACGAAATTGCGGTAGAGAGTTTAGGACATCCTATACATTTTTTCTTTTTATATAATAATGTATATTATCTTTTCTATCTTTTTGTACATTAGTGTAAAGCAATAGCTGTCGCATAATATATAATGTCAACAAAACTTACACATACATATACATACGGTACTTTTCAAATTTAAAATTCATAGAACGTAAAACTGGGTGTTAAAGTGATTTTAATATTTAATACATTTCTGCAGCAAGTACTTTATCGCTTCGATTTACGGCGAAATTCGAAGAATCAAGAATTATGGACTCTGGATTGCGGAATAAAAGCCCCTTTTGCGTTAAAATTGATATTATGAAGGAAATCATATGTAGGTTATTTTTCGCGCGGTGTGTCGTGTTCCGAACCGTGTTCGTCGATATTTTTATCGATGTATTCTATATAGCGAGTGTGTAAAATATGGTAGAGTATAATTTCAACTGCAATGAAATTAATAAGTCTCTTGTGAATCGCTTTGACTAATTACTCGTCCTTGTAAACACTTATCGCGAGCACGCGATGTTATCACATACATTAATAAGACGGCGCGCAAGACACGTTCAGTTTAAAGTATTTCCAATTCGTTTTTCTTTTTCTTTTTTTTTTTTGCTCGTCTCGGCCTTGCACTTCGTGCCTTCGTCGGAACTGAATTGCATAACAAACAATCGTCGCGCGACAAAGTAATTGCCACAAACACACATGTCTCAGAATGCATTGCTTATGCAAATATTTATCGATCCAAGAATCCATCGAGCAACAGAACAGCAAAACAGCTTGTCGAAGGCGCTCGTGTGCGTTTCCCGATGTGTTTATTCCGCGAAAATATTCCGTCACCTTTTGCGCCTTTTCACACGATCGGTTGCGGTGTCTAGTAACATTGAAACGTCAATAAGTGCTAAACTTCGAACCGTCGACGTCGCGACGGTTATAGATAGAGCAATAGCGCGCTATTGTCATCGCAGGTGCATTCACGATTGTGTATTTTGCCACAAAACTTCACGATTGATCGACGTTACAACAAATTACATATTTCATAATCACGTTTTATAATCACGGCTGGCGGATAGGAGCGATGTTATGTAAAAATTCGTTCATCGATATAACGTGGAAACTGGCTGAGTGGCGACTATATGGAACTTTCTCTCTGTATGTTAAATTTAAATATCCGAAATTGCTACATTAATTGGTTTAACTCAGTTTTGCATAATATCATTCAGATATTGACATAATTTCAACTATCCGACGTATTAATGGTGCCGCATCTTCACGATTTGATCAAGCAGGACTCGCGGTTCTCGTGATGTGAGCAACCCACGGAAGACGTCGGTGAAGATAAATTTAAAATACGTTTGTCTTCACGGCGCTACGAAACGATTGTCTCTCGGGCGGAAGGCCGTGTGTCTTTTGCAAATCCAGCACGCCGAGTCCTATGCTAATCTTATTTGTGTACGATTACGTATGTTTATAACATGCAAAGAAATTCCGCGGCGCGCGTTATCAGTGTTTAGTCAGGAGCGCCAACGCGTGGCGCTTCGGCCCGAAGTCTGTGCGGCAGAGGAAAGAAAGAAAAGGGAGGAGAGGACGGCGGGGGTCAGAAGGCGACGAAGAAAAACAGAAGAAAGGGCACATCGCATCGCGAAATTTTGCACGTATGCCAGGAAATCCTTTCGAATTCGTTTTTTTCCGTCGCCGTAACTGCGGATCCCGCGTCGAATGACGATTTTGAGGTTTCCACTTTACGTTATTGTCAAGTTGTGTAATTTGTAGGATGCATTTCTCCTTCATCATTTGTAAATTCACTATATATCAAAGAAAATTTCTATATATATATTTCTATATCTATATTTCATTATGTATTATTGCTACTTTGAAACGAAAATAAAATAAATTTATATTCACACACACAATATTATAAATAGGATAAAACTATTATTTTGTATCTTTTTTATGAGTGCTTTATATATTTGCATTAGATACACAGATGATAAAAAGAGGAGATAATAAACAGAAATATAAGTATTTAAATATGTGTATACGTATACGTATCTCGAATATATACACTATAAATTGTAAACTTTCCATCATTATATTTTGAAAATGAAATTATCAATAATTCTGAAATTTATATATATATAATATATAGATATATTAGTCTTTAATATCACCTAATAATTTTTCATCAAAGTTTTAGTTTAGAAGATATTAAGTATATTAAAACTTTAGTTCTGCAAATATCTTAGCTGTTACATGGTTAATATTTTTCTAATTGCATGAGCAATTAGATAATATTTCTTTGTGTATATAGTAGAAGTTTCATCAAATTCTGACAAAACTCGTTTTATGATACAACTATTTTAATGAAACGCGATAATCGGTAGAACTGTTTAATTCATTTCGGTTTGTATCTCCCCGTTCCTTGCAATCGTCCTTTAATTCGTTAATTAATACTAACCCTCGTCTCCCTCTCTCTCTCTCTCTCTACTTTAACAAAGAAAGGAAGAATCTTAACTGCGACAACCGCGGAAGGGGTAGCGATTTTCGTTATTCGTCGCGGCAACATAGAGGGGTTTTTCAGTGAAGGGGGTAAAGACGATGAAGCTCGACGTGTGTACACGGACAGCAAAGGAAAAAGATATAAGAGTACGGAAGAGAATGAAAGTATAAGAGCCGACGTTGGAGGGCCATCGACTGCAGATAAGAGGGACTCCTAAGACTCTTTTAAGAAAAGGTTAAATAAAGGTCGGAGGCTGCGCTTGTTGTTGGCTGTTCAGATTCCTTCGACCCCCGTCGTCCTCTACCTCCATCCCATCCCCCGCACCGTCACGGGTGCCCCACGTAACGCCACTTATTTGAATCCCGGAGGCTTCCTCGAGTTCAACCCCCTCGCGCGCGGCCTCTCATATCTTTTATATATTAGAATTTTCACCGACGTTCCGCCCCGCGAACTCCGCTCTGTTTACTGTTTGGATTTATCCCTTCGCCTTTTCCCCCTGTCCCTGCTTTACTCCACCGTCGCGGTATCCTACTGTGTCGAAACTCCCGTGGTTGTATATGAGTTCCTTATGTACACCCTCGTCGTGATACTTTCGGTTCTCCTCGTTGCCGAACTTTCCGCTGCGTCTCGTCTTCCGCTTCATCGACTGGGAGGAGGGTGGAAGGTCGCAAGAATCTGATGATGTTTAGGCAACTGTGACTCATTGGTATATTTCCTATACTGTATAATCTGATACGTCAGTTTCACAATTGTTATGTTGTAACTTCGTTTCCGCGTGAAATGACTCGAGGGATTTTTTATGTTTTAATTCTCTGAGTAGTACTGCATAAGGTTACTTTTTAGAAGTGCTCGTTTTTTTAGAGCATTTTTTTAAATCATTAAAAATAAAATACTTGGCAATTTATTTTTCACGAGAAAAGTTGTGTAGTTTTCAGCTAGAAGGATAAAGGAAGTTTCAATAATTTTTGGGGATTTTTTTGAGGAGAAATAGAAGCCTTAAGAGAAAAAGAATCAAGAAAGACACTGATAATCCTGGTTGTCAAAAATACATTATCGCTCGATTGATAGTGACAGGTAAAATCGATGAGAACAAATAAAATCGCAAATATAAAT